TAAAGCCTGTGGGAGAAAAGCCCGCGGGACCTTCATTTGCTAATGGGGCACAACTCAAACTGAAGAGAAACAGCTGTAAATATCCATTGAATATCAGAACATGGAATGTATGAAGTATGAATCTGGGAAAATGGGAAGTTGTCAAAAATGAAATGGAATGCATAAACATTGATATCTTAGGCATTAGTGAACTAAAATGGACTGGTATTGGCCATTTTGAATCTGACAACCACATGGTTTACTAAGCCAGGAATGACAAATTAAAGAGGAATGGTGTTGCATTTGTTGTCAAAAAGAACATATCCAGATCAGTCATGAGGTACAACGCTTTCTGTGATAGGATAATATCCATGCACCTACAAAGAAGCCCAGTTAATACCACTATTATACAAATTTACACACCAACCACTAAAGCCGGTGAGGATGAAATAGAAGAATTCTACCAACTTCTTCAATCTGAAATTGATTAATCATGCAATCAAGATATATTGATCATTACTGGTGATTGGAATGCAAAGGTTCGGAGCAATATATATATTTTTTAATTGGTATCTTTTATCCTTTCTTTCTTTCTTTTTTTTTAATTGAAGGTTCCTTACTGGCCCTATCTCCAAACAAGTGGCTGGACCAGGGGAAAAGGGAAGGGGAACCAGCCAGTGTAGGGAAGGGACATCTCCACAACATTCCATTTATACACAGAACTAAACAGACAAGCACAGAGTCACTATGCAGTTAGAAGTTGGCAGCCTGGAATTGGGGGGATACAAGTGGGGAGTGGGGGTGTTGTTAAAAAAAAATACAAGCCCCTCCCAAACTGGGGTTCCTAGGGGGGACTTGGTCTGTTTCAACCCAAAAGGAATCAGAAGATCAAAAGCAGTTTGGGAAAGCCAGAACCATCAGGGGCGGAGGGAGGAGGAAGGTCCAGGGGGTGGGGGCTTTTTGGCAACTGGGGTGAAGGGATTGCCCTCCCCCTGCTGGGATCCCCCCAGTAGTTGGAAAATATGGCCTTGGTGATAGAAATGATGCTAGAGAACACATGTTAGAATTCTGCAAAACCAATGATTTCTTCATTTCAAATACCTTCTTTAGATAGCATAAGAGATGACCATACACATGGACCTCACCAGTTGAAATACATAGAAATAAAATTGACTACAACTGCGGAAAGAGACGACGGAAAAGCTCCATATCATCAGTCAAAACACAGCCAGGGAAGACTGTAGAACAGACCATCAATTACTCATATGTAAATTCAAATTGAAGCTGAAGAAAATGAAAACAAGTCCATGAGAGCCAAAATATGACCTTGAGTATATTCCACCTGAATTTAGAGATCATCTGAAGAACAGATTTGATACATTAAACACTAAAGACCGAAGACCAGAGAGTTGTGGGATAACATCAAGAACATCATACATGAAGAAAGCAAGAAGTCATTGAGAAGACAAGAAAGAAGGAAAAGGTCAAAATGAATGTCAGAAGAGACACTGAAACTTGCTCTGCAGTGTAGAGATGCTAAAGCAAATGGAAGAAATGAGGAGGTCCAAGAGCTGAACAGAAAATTTCCAAGATCAGCTCAAGAATATAAAGCCAAATATTAAAACAAAATGTGCAAAGATCTGGAATCAGAAAACCAAAAAGGAAGAACACACTCAGCATTTCTCAAGCTGGGGAAACTGAAGAAAAAATTCAAGCCTCGACTTTTGTTATTGAAAGATTCTCTGGGCAAATTATTGAATGATACAGAAAGCATCAAGAGAAGATGGAAGGAAAACACAGAGTCACTGTACCAAAAGGAAATGGTTAATGTTCAACCGTTTCAAGAGGTAGCATATGATCAAGAGCCCATGACAATGAAGAAGGAAGTCGAAGGTGCATTGAAGTAATGAATTGGCAAAGAACAAGGCACCAGGAATTGATGGAATAAAAACTGGAATCTTTCAAGATAGTGAGGCGGCACAGGAGGCACTCACTTATCTCTGCCAAGAAATTTGGAAGACAATATCTGGCTGACTGATTGGAGGAGATCCATATTTGTGCCCATTCCAAAGAGAGGTTACCCAATGGAATGTGGAAATCATCGGACAATCTCTTTGATATCCCATGAAAGTAAAGTTTTGCTAAAGGCAATACAGAAATGGCTA